AGTAAATGGCCGTACACAAATATAATTGTCACAGTTAAATGGCGTAATGTTATGACCGGTTTCTGTATTTTATCCGAACCCCAAGGCCCGTCGTGTCCTTCCCCTGGGCGTGCGTGTGACAGATATTGTATTCATTTTAAAGGAAAATTTACTAAATGCTCGACTAATCCACGAATTTCCCTACTGCAGACTAAACTTGGTAGATATGAATAATTTTATAGTAAATTAGCGACCTGTTCTCACGGCTGGAATTAAAATCTTTGGGGAATAGATAGATTAAAATTATATATTACTGGGTATGTTGTATATAGACTTGTTTATTTCTACATATATTTTCATGTATGTGATTTAAAGATTGAATGTCTATAGAATACTACTTTTGACTGTTTAAGAAAGTCCGTCAACAATCGACTTCGATCCCATTGTCAAAGGTTACGGGTTTTTGTAATAAATAATTATTTAAAATGTTTAGGGTGGAATTCATAAACATGCTAACTTATAAATAATGTTCTTTTTTTTTAAATAAGGCGAGAGTGATAAATCAAATACTTAATAGCCTTTGATGACTGCATATTCCAATTTCGATTTATAATAATAGTACCAAATATTATTTTCATTAAAAATAACTATTTAGAATCATATAATTGTCAACTAATGCGTAAAGTGAAACGTTTCTGGGTACGTCTTGTTGATATCTTTTTAGTTTTTATCTTATAAGAATGTATTAAGCTTATTTACAAATAACTCAATTAATTTTAAATATTCCGTGGAGCCTACCGTCTTCAAGTTCAGCGATTTAAAGAGCTAGTTTGCTCAATCTATTAACATAGTACAGACCAATCATGACTTAAACAACTCGACTTAAAGTCGTTTAAGAAAAGACAGTACTCTCAGACTGTAGATTCTATAAAGGGACAGCGCAAGCAGTGTGGTCATGGGCGGCAGTATCACTTGATATCAGATGAGCTTTTGCCCAAAACATACGTAAGATATACTTTTTTATAAAGGCAAGGCCTTCAACAGAACAGGCAATACGAGAAATTCATAACCAAAACATATAATGTTATATTTCATACAAATACAGTGTATGGTAATTGATTTCACCTGTATCAACCAACCCAATACAAATAGATATTGTGTGTATGAATCAAATAACATATTTCAAATAAATAGATAGCTTACAAAATTTAGTACGGTTCACTTTTTTGATATATCGTTCCAAATGTGTAGGATGTTTAGTTTTTAATAATAAAGTTAATTGAATTTTTTCATAAGTAAAGATGCTATAATAATTTGAGTGTAAATTTTGTAAAGCGCTCGGAGGCTGAGAGGCTCTGTCGGATTACAGCGGGGAGACGTCGAAAAACAAGAAGGCTCTACGGAATGCAAAGTGGGGGCTTATCTTATAATCATCGAGCGTGTCAACTTATTAATAAAAATCATATTTCATGAGTTCTCGCTCCGGGCCGGCGACGCGACAGGCATCATAAAATTTGCTTTCAACTTGCTCGCTGTATTTTAAAGTAGACAAGCTTTATTGAATCCCTGAATATTCTAAGTTAATTTTCAGTTTTTAGTACGGATGTTAAATTCATATTTTAAAAATTTAAAACATTCCTTTTCTCGTATGCTCTAAATAATTCATAAAATTTGTATAAGTTATTATTGGCTAATTCAGCATTTTAATGCTGGTAAAAGATAGGGATTTTTATTTTATGATTATTGATTTATATTCAGTATCCGTTAAAAACCAACTATTTACCTATTTTTACGTATTATATACGTATATATTTAGCCTATGATCTAGTTGATGACCTGGTGAACTATGTATCACCTACATATATATATTTATGTCAAAACAAAATACTTTTTTATACAGACCAAAGAGATCGGACCTCATACTACAGCTATGAAACAAATTTCTGAAGACATCTATAGATTTATATGCAGAAGTGACAATTCTTTGTTTCTATAAAGACAAAATACGTCAAATTTTTTCCAGCTAGGAACAGTATTATTTATATTCACACCGCTTAAACCTTTTCTGAACTTCCACAAATATTTCGAGTTTTAGACAAACGAACAGCAAGTCATTTTTATATAAACAGATACAGTTATCAAAACTACTAGTGATTTTTTTAATATTATTAAAATATTTTTGGGATATGCATTATTTCACTGTTAATGAAACTAAAAGTTTTGTAGAAGTTGAGTAGTTTGAGGTCCTAAGTCAACATTTAGGTTTGTTCCTAATCTTCTAAAATTACCACAAATTGCTGTTAAACTTTGAACAAACATTTTCAGCGGCTTATCGTGTATGATCCTATAGTATATATATATTTTCCCTCATCTCAAAATCGGTGAAGCGATTATGATAGAGATTTAGAGAAGATTTTTTGATTCGCGAATGTGCGGCATTATTATTTGGTAATGAGTATAATATTACCAGTTTAAATCCGTTGTAAAATTTCCAAGTCGTACTTAGGGTTATCTTAACGTTTACTTTAGAATACACAGAATAGGTCTAATTGGAATTTGGATGCTAAAAACATCTTTCATTGATCTTTGATTTCTTGAATCAGACGCTAATTATCACGCTTTAATTTTTTTAGCTGAGATGGACCGTTGTTTAGATTTGAAATTATAGTGGTTTATATATATATAGGTGGATAAAAAGTTCTGTTTTTACCTAATATATTAGATATTTTATCCAAAGTCGAAATAAATTTGTTTTTGTCTAAATTCACGCGTTTCTTGAATTAATGGAAACGTTTTTGTTATTTTGAATATTATAAAAATTTGTGGAAGTCCGAAACAATTGTGTTATGGGGAATATGTCATATCTTTCTATTATGGGCAAGTAGTTGTACCGAAATAAATATTGTTTTGCCACAAAACTCAATGGCATTGGCATAGTATTAATGTCGTGTTAAAAGTCCTATTGTATACTAGTTGACCAATCCCAATCAAGTAAAACGTATCATCATTTATGTTTATATTCACCCTAATATTTTACGGAAACGTAAGCGTTTTACCCTTAGGCTATGTTCAGATGGCAAAAACTTGACGCGCGTTTTCAAATCGCGCGACTAGAAATTGTGGTATTTTCATACAACTGTTCACATGAGCGCGCGTTAACGCGCGTCAACGCGGCGCTCAGAGAAAAAGTCTCTAGACGCAGGTGATCGCACGTTGACGCGCGCTTTGATATTAATGTAATGTCCGTTTGCTGTTCAGATGAGCGCGCGCTTTCATCGCGATCGCATGTAATTTTGTTAATTTTCGTAATTATATTTTGTTCTCGCATTTAAAATGAGTGAAATTGAAGATACTGACATCGACTTACTAATCGATGAAGTAGAAAAAAGGTCAGCAAGTTGGAATATAGCAAATTTGTATAAAAAATATAATATAATTTGTATTTTTTTTCAAAATTGGATGAACCCAATGTGTACGTTTTCTTTTTCTATAAATTTCTTTATAATATAACCACAAAATAATAGCCTCTTCCACGTCCATTTTCTACGTTCTACCGAACTAGACTGACGAGCACTCTCGCAACGCGCGTTAGCGCTCATCATCTGAACGCTCTTCAATTTTGATCGCGCGTTGACGCGCGTTACCGCGCGTTACATGTGAACATAGCCATAAAACAAAAGCTTCCGTTAAAATAAAATGTCAAAGATGTGGTATATATAAATGTGCTGAAAAATTTTATATTTACATAACTGTTAAAGATATCTCAGAAAGTTCAAACAAGAAATCGGTTTACGAATTATCGCACCATCTTTCATAATCGTAGGATTTAAAAATCTTTTATTAATGTATCTAACAGGGGTTGATGTAAATCTCAAAGGCCGTTTTAATGGACGCATAAAGGGCACGATTTCTGTCCATTAAATACCTTTTAAACGTTTGATCCTTTTTTATATTTGCTACGTTGATACAACGGGCAGATTTCGGAGGTCATGTTAATTAAGCGTGTTGACAAAGCTATTGATTTATATGCTATGTAGACGCATGATTCAGCAGTACTTTGTTTCTCGTTATAAATTAATATAAACATTATTATATGATAGTTTAAAGTTAGCTTAAAAAAACCTTGAGAGCCTACGCGAACACTCGTCTTATAGAGTCGACAAATTTGGGCCGTCTTGAAAGTCTTTTGGGAGTTAATACCGAAGATAGTTCTTGGGTATTACTTCCTACTTCTTGGGTTCTTGCCGCCTCGCAATGTGCATAAAAGAGATGCCGTTCTTTTCCTACGGATCGCCTAGAATTAATCAGTATTAGACTTCATCGAAGCATATATATAAAAGACCTTTGTGAATAAACTTTATATAATAATAATTTAAATAAACAAGTAGATTCAGGCTACCTCAGACAATTTGGTTCATTTATAGACACAGGTTCGTTTTTTAATCAAAACATAATCGTTTAAACAAAATACAAGTATAAGCGGACGAATCCGCAATAAATTGCAAGTTACTTAAAGATATTTTATTGATCCAAGTATTCGTGTGAAGCTGTTACGATGAAACGCGACAAAAATACAGAGATCAAAAAATATAATTTGAAATAAAAGTTAACGTGGAGCGGTCACAAGTTTCTTAATTAAAACTTAGGTCAGGCCACGCTGGGGAGAGATCTTTGACCCACAAATAAATAAACGAGCACTCGGCACTGTCACGATTCATCTATTTGTCTAAAAGAGTTTATTTCTACAGACGTGTCTGGTGTCTCGTAATGACAGTGATTGAAAATTACTTCTTATATATAAAAAAAATATGTATGGGCATAAGAAGAAAACATTTGTTTTTATAGTTATATAAGTGTTGTATGTGAAATATTCATTTTTGTATAGAATTACACGTGAAATAGGGGGTCTATTCACTTTGTTAAATGTCTCTGTAACTCTGTATGAGTTTAATTTAGACTAACACTTAAGTAACAAAGTGAACTTTTCACTAATTCATTTTTATATTTGTTCGCAGCACTCCATGTTATACTTCTTCCACCACTATGAACTGCCCGTGATACAACAGCAGGCTCAACTTCAGCAACTCTTATTGCGTACCCATCATGGCACGTTAGGTGGGATGATGGGCTTGGCAGGTATAGCGGCTCTGGCCAGCGGGACTGCGTACCACGATGCCCCAGGAACTGGAACTCAAGCGACACCCCCAACTACTCAATCTACGACCCAAACTGTACAAAACACAGTGCAGTCTACCACCCAAACCTCTCCCTCTGTATCTACAGTGCAAACTAATACCACTCATACGGGAGATGTTATTTTCTCCCGAAGCATAACCGAAACTAACGCAGCAGGTACCAACACTCCATCAACTAATACTGAAGACAGAGCCGTGGCCACTTCTGATCCACCATTAAACACGCTTAAAAAATCTAGCACTTCCGACGAAGGTATCAAGATAGAAGAAATCAAAAGAAAAACATCTAATAGCGACATTCAAATAATACACAACGAAAATAGTGTAAGCCTTTTGGATAATGCTAAAAATGTAACTCCAGATTCTAATGAGCCAAGTGAAAACTTTGGCTCCGTAGAATCTCCGAGTTTGACTCTTGATCGTCGACGCAAATTCGTAGCGCCCGCAAGTAATGACCCGGTTATACCGGATGTAACTACAAGAGTCGCTCCCAGAGCTTCGCCTGAGGCTGACGATCTTATTTAGCTTCATTCAAAGCTTTGAAATCGTATTTAGCTAACAGCGACTTCACATATGATACAAAAAGTCATGCAGAGTAATAGGGTACTTTTAGCAGTTAGGGATATGGATTAAGTTGTCATTGATTTGGAAAATGCCTTTTTTCTCAATTCATGTTTTTGAAATTTGGACGCAACGTTCTTGTTGCAGATGGCGTTGAAGTTTGTAAAATTAATACAATTTGAAAAATAAAAGGGATTTTTAATGTATTCTATTAGGTTTGCGTAAATTTTTGCGACAAACAGCTTTATTTCAACGAAAATTCTCAATAACAAAACTTGTTTTGAATATTACGACGATAAAGCTCAATAGGTTAGAAATGTCAAAGTTGGAAAATCATTTGGTTTTATGAATCCATTGGATAGCAATGAAGTGGTATTGAGCAGGTGTGCATCCATTTATAAAGTTTAATTTCAAACATTTATCACGCGGTTTAATATCAAGAATAAATGAGTAATTTCTAAAAAAATTGTCTTTAATCACAAATGTGTCTCATTAATGTTTTAGCTCAACACTGCTCATTGCTTAGATCCGTATTTCAAAACGTCACGAGTCCGTTGAGTTGAGATGACATTCAAATCAAATTCCGTAAAGAAAAATAGTTGTATTATTTTGAAATCTTAGACTTTGGTTTTTGCAAATACCAATAAAATAATTATTTTTATTTTTAAACTGGTTGACAGTTCTTTGGTTGACGTTTTGGAAAATGGACCTTTTGATTTTATTTTTATTAAGGTGATGTAATGAGTTAACGGAAAGGTGATTGTAGTGTAAGACTTCACAGCAAGTGTAAATAGATTTTAATGTTTAATTGTTTCTAATTGTGTCAAATTCATTAACACAGTGTGTCGTCGCTGTAGAATGATAACCTCGTATGTCCAGAGAACCAAACATTACAGGAAACGAAAAAAAATGTTTCATTTCGTCAATGTTCTTTAAAATATTATTGTGTGTTTTTGACCATAGGTTGGTAAAAGGTCTTATTAATTAATAACATAAATAAATCCTTACTTAATGATTATATCAGTTAAATGACATAAAAGTCTAAGAATAAAAAATAAATGGCTTTTTGACATTCGTATGTGGCCTCGTGGTTATAATTCTACAGTGACGATATAGGAACAGTAGCGAGTAAAACGCTTGAAGATGCGTAATCCAGCGCCTACTAAACACTAGATTTTTTGTACCCCGACAATTTGCCATAACTTCTTTCAACGGTTAGACTTTCATAGTAAATAGAGAGAGAGACTTTAATACTAAACATTTTAATTTAGCATTATTTAATATATCTATTGTTGTACAATAGTATTACCAAGAAACCAATCCTAATTCCATTATAGTTTAATTTAAAGATTTTTCCACACTTGATTACAACATCTGAATGCGCACCATATGAAGTCTAAACAGCAGACACTTGGAGCATATTTAAAATGTTTGATTGACTTTATTTGTATTTATCAGTAAATACAGTTAATCAGTATATCAGTAGATATAGCCAGATTTTGTAGGCGCTGAGGCGTTTTGTGTCATGGTACCGTTGGGACCTATGTTCTCATAATCTACAATTAGATTGCGTTCATTCATTTAGTTATTAGTTGCATTAAATAAGTTTTCATACAAATGTATTTTTATTCATGTGCTAAGGCCCACTTTTATTTATTCTGTATTGAGGGAAGGAAATAAAATTCATTTTCATTCGAATCTGGTTTATTAATATTTTCCGAATGTCTTAAACTATTAATATACATGTTAAAATAGTTAACTTAAACTTATATATTATGACATATACCATCATTGCTGACTATAACAACCGTAATATGTTAGAAGCAGTGGTCATGTGGCTTCAGCGTGCGATTCTCATCCTTGAGGTCGTAGATTCGATACCAAGGGTCTTTCTGTCTATGTGCACATCGAACACTCGCTCGTACGGTAAAGGAAAACATCGTGAGGACACCAGCATGTCTCTTATCCATAGATCGTAGACATGTTCAGATGTCTGACAAGACAAAAGGCTGATAGGCACCTACTTGTGAAATACAAAAAATCTAACAAACAAAGAAAATCTGAAGCCAAGAACTACGTATATATTACCATCATATAAACAAAAAACAACCTTGCATCTTACGCAAGATACGCAAGATTTATACGATATGTACAATAGTAGTAAAATATTCTTTTAGCTTTCTATAATATACGTGTATAGGCTAATGTAAATTGATCATTTATTTATTTAGTAAACATTCAACATTTTAAAGAAATAGTATTGCAAACAAGGTTTTTGAATAATTAAAAGAAATACTATGGCAAACATGATCTGATGCTTAGTGTAGCTAGACTAGTATTTTCTTTAAACAAGATAAAATATTTTTTATGATTCTAAGTGTTTATAGTAACAAATTTTAACGATCATAAGGTTATTATAATTTGCTAGAACAAGAAAAGTTAAAAAGAAAGCGAAATACAACAAGTAGCGTTCCATTTTTAAAAAAAGTAATTTTATACTACATAAATATGTATTGTAAGTAATATTTTATTTTTTGTGTTACAAATTTCGAATACAATAAATACATTTAAATATAACGTTCTGCTGCTGTGGATTCATGGTTTCGATGTTTCCCGTGGCCGTTGGCGTTTACTGCAGGTAAGTACCTGAGAAAGAAATTTAACATTTAAACAAACATGATCTTTATGAACTTTTTAACTCGAAGGTAAAATAAAATAATAATTTAATTGTATTTATTTGCTTCTTTTGTATTCACAGGTTTACATGCTGCAGGTATTGTCCATCTTTGTGAGAGGCTGGTCCCATGATAGGAGTACAGAGGTCCTGTAAAAACATTGTCACCAGCCTGTCAACGCGGATAGAAAATGCGTTTAAAATTAAATAATAGTATTAAAAAAATAAACTGATTTAAAATACCTATTAACTGAAAACAAAATTTTTGGGTCTCAAAAACTTTTACCTGGACCGATCACTAAATCGGAATATATGACTTGTTTCCGAGAATTTTTTGGACAAACATACTCGTTCACTTACGAAATTTAAGTTATAGGAAACCTAAGTAGATCTCATATGATATTGGATTGTATAATAATCTAATACTCAAATATTATACAATTCCAATATCACGTAGGACGAATGATAATATTTTTTTGAATTGATATTTTTCTGGACAATTGGACAGTACGGGTACATAAGTACTATAGGAAGTTATGTGTTATTTATAAGCTCCTACGGATACTCAAGATTATTTATTCTTATTGAAATATCAGAGTTATTTGAATACATTTTCATTATATGACAACTGTAGAACGGCATATGCAAATTGAAGTATTACTTGGTGAAAAAGAATTTATTGAATACGTTCGCAGCTATGAAGCAGTAGCCAGTTTCATTCTTCGTTCTTTGAATCTTCTGTAGTTACCGAAGAATATCTCCTTGTCAGCTACGTGTATTCTCAAGCAATAACATCTCGTAATGTGTGTTAATTCCCCAAGAATACGCGTGACCTTCAAGTTAGATTGTTCTTTCTTCTTTGCAGTCTTCTTTCAGGTTAATTGTGAAACGCGATACTGTGCTGTGTGCCTTAATATGTATATAGTTTACAGATTTTACAGATTTTTATACAATAGACAAAAAAAAATATGTTAGTATTACTATTAATTAGGTTGAAGAAGCTACATATTTATTTACATTTCATGCATGGAAACAGTTTTATTTATATTTCGCTTTTTAGGCTATTTAAACTATTGTAATCTCAACGAATTATTCACAAAGAGACAATTTAGTACGCGAAGAAAGTCGTACGAAGTTAATAATTTTATTACAAACAATATTTTAATGCCTAGTAGACTTATATGGCGATGATTAATACCAATTCCAACGGTAATTGTAATCCGGCACACTAATGTGGATGCCCCTAAATATGACACAAATCAATATTTGCGAGTACTTATCTATAAATTGTCATCCGAGCATGACCGGGTTTGATCGACGCGAGGAGGGCAGCGGGGCTAATCGCCGAACCACGTGCCGTGTCACGAACCATCCCATCGTCACATCCGGGAACATAATCCGGCATCCGGACATCCGGATACAGACTGCATCGCCCGGATTTAACTGCGAACGAAACAGACGGCTGATTGTCGAGATTAAACGGTAAGTCTACGGTGTTTTAGCGAGCTTTGCCGTTGTTTGCTACACGTATTCTCTGTGTAGGTTGCACTGTAGTGTTTGTGGGATTACCGGAGTCCGACTGATAAATTGAATATATCACAATTAATGCCTGTGATGTGAAAAAGCAGTCCTAAAGTAAGCTTTTTCAAACATATAAGTCGATTTAAAATAAATATATTTTAACTAAGTTAAAACGTATTGTCTGATAACTAATGATATTAATATAACGAATCCGTTGTGAATATTAAATTACTATAAACGGGTTCGGCAACTATTGCAGTGAAACCAAATGTCATACTGAACTTAACCCAAAAGTAGATTTGTCATCCAATTAAAGGTTCGATTTCTCTTACTAATATCAAACGCAAGATTTTATCCATAACGGTTTATCTTCATCTTTGATGTAGGTAAGCTTTGTAGTCCTCTGTCGTCAAACGTAACCTGTAAAGATATAATAATGGTTAGGAATCTAAATAAGGTAAATGTTCAACGAATAGCTGATTGGGTTGGATATTATACTACTGTAGAATCGGCTAATATTAGATACATAATTTTTTTATTAATAATTTAACTTTTGTAACTGTAAATCTATTTAAGTATTTAAGACTATCCGAGTAAGAGGGACTTCCGTATTGTATTTTGTCAGATGGCATCCGTTGGCGTAGGAAATTTTTATTATGTCCAATGCTACTTTTTACCATTGATATTTTTTTTTAGTTTTTTCTTTTCTAGGGTTGCGTGAGAGAGATCTCTTGTTAGTGATTAGTTGCATTCCTAATAATTTATGTTA